AAATTCTTGTAAGGTTTTTTCTGTGTTTTCTTTGTTCTGTCTCTCAATCCTCTGAAGATACCTAAAGACAATTCTTTTGAATTCCTTGTCAGAGAGTTGCAATGCTGCTTCTTCCTCGGGGATGTGTTCTGGGTCTGTATCCTGCTCTCTTGTTTCTACCACTTTATCCTGCTTCTTTGTGTGGACTGTGATGGTCTGTTGTTTCTGTGGCATCGTGACATTGTTGTACTTAGATCTCTGTTAACTGTTTGTGAAGAGCAGCCAAAGGTGGTTGAGCCTTTTCTCGGTGGTTTTTTTATTGTTGGCCCATTGGTGGAGTAGGAAGAAGTGGCTCTCATTCAGTAAGTGGAGTTGCAGGAGGTGTGGGTGTAGTTGTGTTTTATGGGGTCTGCAGTTGTCTTCCACTCAGTTGGGCACAAATTACTATTGAATAACCATAAAAAAACTAGAAACCCATGGACAAAAAACACACCATGCAATCACACATGAACAATGACCAAAAAAAAGTGAAAAGGGGGAAAAAAAAAAAGAAGAAGAAGAAAAAACAAGCAAATCTGCAATATCTAGGCATAGGGCCACAAGAAGAAGAGAAAAAGGAAAAAAAAAATAGGGAAGGAGAATAACAAACGAAGAAAAAAAATAGGAAGATTGCAAAAAAGAAAACCAAGAAATGGGGTTAGCCACGAGAGGAAAAAAAAAGAAAAAACAGGGAAAAGAAGAAAAAGCGAACAAAAAACAAACAAACAAACAACAACAACAACAACAAAAACCCTTAAATTGGGGGGGGCATAATCCCAACCAGGAACAGGGAAAAGAAAACTATTGAAAACTAGGACCTGGTAGGGGAAGATCAAGAACAATAATAAAAAGGACAAATGAATCAATAATATTAGTTGGTTTGGAACGGACAAATACAAGCAAACTAATCACCGGGAAAAAGGGAGTGAAAAAGAAAAAAAATTAAAAAGAAAGAAGAAGAAGAAAAAAAAAAAAGGACTGCTTAGGGCACCCAGGCTCTGTCTGAGCACACAGATTGCGATCGAACCCCTGTGTGGGCCCAGAAGGTAGGTTGGAGTGGGGACGGCCACACCCCCGCCCACCAAGCAGGTGCAGGGTGCAGCAACAAGAAGAATGTCGCACCCCTTCAGTCCCATAGGCCCCGAGTGTCCCCGGGGCTGTCGGAAAGCAGAACGTGATCTTAAGCCCCAGAAATCTGTGAGAGCACTGTCTCTTTAAATATCCAAGCTAGTCATGCAGCTTAAATGTACAACATGGCAGCGTCCTCCGGACTGGCAAAAGTCTACCACTTGGCCCACCTTTCTCTTCACGTTCCCCAGTTTATTCACTAGCTACTATACACAGTCCTCCGCACGGACCCTGGCTAGCAGGGGATTTTTAGGTTAATTCTTAAGTCTTACCACCACCGGATTCTGCTGGAGCACTCTCTTTAAACATCCAAAATAGTTATGCTGCTTTTTTTTTTTTTAAATGTACAACATGGCAGCGTCCTCCGGACTGGCAAAAGTCCGACACTCAGCCCACCTTTCTCTTCACCTTCCCCAGTTTGTTCCCTTGCCACTATACACAATTCTCCACACGGACCCTGGCTATCAGGGGATTTTTAGATTAATTCTTAAGTCCTACCACCACTCAGGAGTGTCCAGGTCATTTGTGTTGTCAGGGGCGCTCAGGTCCCTGCCAGACCGCAGCTCCATATATCTCCTTTTTTGCTATTTTCACGCAATTTCTTCTGCTAGTTGGGGTTTAGTCTACTTCTGAATCCTTCTCTTCAAGGCTCAGGGGTCCAAGATTAACTTCTGTGTCTGTGTCAATTGGTTTCCCTTTCCTTTGTTGAAGAGGGTCTGTGCAGTCCTTCTATCTAGTCCGCCATCTTCCCAGCTCCTCTGGAAATATATGTTTGCTTCTGCTATTATGAGAAGCTCTGGTGGCACAGTGGCTAAAGCATGCAGCTGTTAATCAAAAGGTCAGTGGTTGGAACCAGCCGCTCCATTGAGAAAGATGAGGCAGTCTACTTCTGTAAAGATTTACAGTCTTGGAAACCCTATGGGGACAGTTCTACTCTGTCCTACAGGGTGGTTATGAGTCGGAATTGACTCAATGGCTGTGAGTTTGGTTTGTTTGGGGTTCTGCTTTTATAAGTAAACTGGATTTTATGTATTATAGGAGCTCTGGTGGTATAGTGCCTAAGACATTTGACTGCTAACCAGAAGGCTGGCGGTTCAAACTCACCAGCCACTTCTCGGAAGGTTGGGCAATCTACTGTAGTGATACTGCCTGGGAAACCCAAGGAGAGGTCACTATGAGTTGAAATTGACTTGACAGCAGTTACATGGAAAAAGTGATACTGTGACATTTAGATTCTTTTTATAGGTTTGGGTTTGAAAGCATGGGAGGGTTTTCATTTCTTTAAACCCTTTGCCAGCAATTATGATAAATTCTAACCAGAGAAAGTAATGTCTTAGATTTGGAAAAAACTTTGGTTTCTCATAAAATGGTACACTAAGATTCAAGTCATATGCATTGATACTCTGTTATGCTTTTTCTATATAGAGGTAAAAAGCATCTGACTGCTATTTAGAAGGTTGGTGATTCAAACCCACCAGCTACTCAAGCGGAAGGAAGATAGGGCAATCTACTTCAATAAACATTTACTGTCTTAGAAACCCAATGGGAGGGAGGTTGCTATGAGTTGGAATTTACTCAATGGAGGTGGATTTTGCATTTTGGAGTTTGGTAAAAAAGCTAAGCACTAACATATGATACAAAATCCAGAGGTTTTATGTAAGTATGCTCATCCACTAATACTATGACATTACTGGTTATTTTCTGTCAAAAATTCTTGCATTCAGACTTTTTATCATCTTTGATGAAAGAAACCTGACCTCAAAGCAATTAAATTCAATTTGCATTTATTGAATCTCTTATATTTGCAAGAACTCTACAAGAAGTTTGGTCATTAAGTTCCTGTCTCAAACTTACACCAAGCCCTCAAAGTGCAATGAGTTTCTATAGTTTTTCTTCTATATGTAAAAGCAAAACACTCAGAATAAAAGCTATATAGAATATGTGTATATTTGTCAAATTATTATTATTCTTTTCTAAATAGCAGTTGTCTTTATTACCAAGTCTAAGTTCTTAATGTTTCTACTATTTTAAAGATATTCTCTCACTTTTCTTCTGTCAGTAATCATAGCTAATTAAAAAATTATATTTTTGTTAAAAAGACCATCAATGCACTAATTTTTCAGTGTATAGCTGAGTAAAATATATTCCAAATTTGTCAGAGAATAATATTCAAAATTTTTAAAGTCACTTTTTGTAAACATAGATCTAAACACAAACTTGGAATACATCAGTCCTCACAGTTGCTGACGTCACAGCTTTTATAATTAGAATCTTCCCAATGTTCCAGAGAAGCTACAGTGTGGTTCTTCTTATTACTCTTACCTCTTTGAACTAGTGTCTGAACACTAGGAACTAATTCTGACCAAGGTACAAATTCACACTGCTGTATATCCACAAAATATCCAAAGATAGACTGTTCGCCACTTGGTAGGTGGATGCCTATATTTGAAAATGATAAATAAATCAATCCAACTTACAAAAAGATAATTTGTGGAATATTTGAATAACCATATGATCTACACCTGGATGATTTGGTTATTGAAGTAGAACTCACAAATACTCACCAAGGACACATCTAAATATATAAAATGGGTCTATCCTTTCTTTCCCTAACATCTAATCCATGAAAATGCATTTTTATTAACTTTTTCTCCTTTTCATATCCAGAAAGCAAGATGAATCATAATTTGATATTTTTTGAAATCTAACCCAAAATTCCTGCTTATTGCTGTGTATGTGGATATAATTAAATGCCTATAATATATTGGTTGCAGTCAAAGCAATGCATTAGAGAACTTTGATACTTACAAATAATCATTAATGACATTTATTTTTCCATTATTGAAGTAATAAATTCTCTTAGCAGAAAATTTTGGAAAATGTTTAATAATAACAGCAAAAAATTTAACCATGGTTTCACCCTACAAAGATAACAGTGTTGATATTTGATATGCTTTTTCAATAATAACTTTTGTGTGTGTATGTGGAGGCAGACTGTATTTAATGCAATTAATCTCTTTGGGGTCTAGGAATAGCCCCCTGGAGATTCATTTGCTGGGGAAACATGGTCTGCAAGGCTGAGGCAGTGGGCACTGTGGTCATGGCCTTGCCCAAAGTTCAATTTCTTCAGAGGTCTGTCTGCTGTCCAGAATGGCAGCCACTTCAATGGGCAAATAGGATGGTTGTCTCTAGGCCCAAGGGGGTTGCTTTGGGTTGGGATCCCCTGGGGCTGGCTGGCAGTTTAGGTTTTCCATAGGTGGGATGGGAGGTGTAATGTTTGGTGGGAGGAGGGCTGAAATTCTGAAATCTCATGGTTTTAACTTGTGTTTCAGTGCCATTTTTGGAGTTTTCTGGTTTCACCAGGATCGATGGTGGGGCAGATGCAGGTGGTTTTATTGGAGGCTCACTGTCGATGGGAATTTCTTTGCCTTCCATGATGAGGGAACTGGCCCTCGAGTGGATTCTGGTGCCACTGCCTCTGCTGACACACGTGAGCAGGCTTGGGTCCCATCTCTACCACCATTGCAGGCAGCGAGGAAGGGACTCCCTGCAGCTCATAGAATTGGAACTGCTGCAGCCACACTACCATAGTGGGGCTACCTCTGAGGGAGCCCACCATGAGGCTGGGGATCTCTGACTGAACGGGTCTCTGTAGGGATCCATCTGGAGGAATAATGTGATGAGATACCAGTAACAGGCCAGCTGACAGCAGGTTGGTTGGGGTTGGGTTAATTTTTTTTTCCCATACAGCAAAATTCACTTTTTATCCCCTGTATATAGGAGAGCTCTGGTAGCATAGTGGCTAAGACACTTGCCTGCTAACCAGATGGC